CCACCCCGCGACCCACCCGCGACCCACCCGCGACCCACCCTGTGACCCGCCCGCGACCCACCAGCGACCCACCCCGCGACCCACCCCGCGACCCACCCCACGACCCACCCGCGACCCACCCCGACACCCACCCCGCCACCCACCCCGACACCCAGCCCGCGACCCAGTCTGCGACCCACCCGCGACCCACCTCGTGATCCACTCACATTGTTTTAACGAACAAATCGGCGCCTGCGGCGCTCTCAATGTATAATGTGTAAAAGTTCGGCGCCTGCGGCGGGCTTCTTCGAAGCCTCGCAGACTGACGACGTCTCCGCCGCCCGTTCACTTTTATGATCCGCAACTGCGGGGTGATACGTGTGTATATATATATATTCGTTTATATGTGTGTGTATATATATATATATGTGTGTAGATCCGTTCGTTGCCATCCTGCGTTCCCTGCCCCGGGCGGCCTCCAGACGGGGAAATTTCTCATCGCAAGAGCTCAGGCAGAGGTCGACGGGAAAGGGGCGAGGCGGCACGAGGCGACGCCAGCCACTCCTTGAGGGCCCAGGGGCCGTGCGGGCCAAAACAGCCGCAACCCTGTCTCGTCCGAGACACGACAGCCCCGAAGGTTCACCAGCTGCCCCAAACTGCCTCCGGATGCGTCGACGACGCCCACATCAAAGCCCGCACGGTCCATGACGCGTCCTGGACGGCCCAAGAGAATTATTCTCTCGGCCCCCCAAAGGTCCACAAGGCCAAACTCTCGGTACGCCCCACTGAAACGACCCATTTGAACATGCCCGCTCTCGCGACTTCCGCAGCGTTCTAGATCGCCCAAAGGCACACACGAATGCCCTGAGACGGTTCGAGAGAGCCCCACCTTCCTTTCAGGGAGCCCGAAGTTTCCGAAGTGACGCCTCATACCCCCCACAAGCGCGCCAAGACAGCCCGAGAGGCCCCCCGGCCGCACCATTGCAACCATGTGGAGCCATCGTGGACGCCATACACCTCGCGTTTCTTCACATCACCTCTGCCGCCCCCCCCCCCCATCGCGTCGACGACGGCAGCTCCGCCCTCGAATGGAGGCTGCCCGGGGCAGTTTCCTTCACAGCGTTTCCAAGAAACGCGGCGACGCCACGACGAATGGGCTCATGCGGTTCGCGAGGGTGCACCGCCCACCCACGCTTTCCTCCGCGCGGGGTACCGGCGCTCTCCTCCGCAAAGGGTTCAACTTAAGACCCCCAGGCCGATTGCAAGCCATGTGCGTGCACTATCTGTGCCTCGCCGCGTCCGTCATGCTTTCCTCTTCTCTTTCTCTATATTTCGTTATTTCCCTACCTAGGCTCTGCCTAGAAGGGTTCTTACTCGGTAGGCTTAAAGGACCGGGCAGTGTGAAGCGCCCCGGGTGGTTCCCCCGGCATCCGCCCCGCGGTCCCCCCGTGACGTTCCTTTAGCTTAGCGTTGCTTGTCTCATCTTAGCTAAGCCTAGCTTAACTTAGCTTAGCCCAGCTTCGCTTAGCTTAATTAGCTTAGCATAGCCTAGCCTAGCCTAGCTTAGCTTAGCTTAGCTTTGCTTTGCTTTGCCTAGCCTAGCTTAGCTTAGCTGAGATTAGCTCAGCTTAGCTTAGCGCAGCCCAGCACAGCATTAGCATAGCATAGCATAGCATAGTATAGCATAGCTTAGCATAGCATAGCGCAGCATAGCATAGCGCAGCATATCATAGCATAATAGTATAGCATAACATAGCATAGCAACTCATAGCTTAGATGTGGATGTAGGTGTAGATGTAGATGTATATGTATATGTAGATGTATATGTAGATGTAGATGTAGGTGTAGATGTAAGTGTATATGTCGATGTAGATGTGAGTCTCGCTGTTGATGTTGATGTAGATGTAGATGCAGGTGTAGATGTTAATGTAGCTGTCGGTGTAGATGTAGATGTTGCTTTCCTAGATGCTCCAACTCCTAGGTAGGGTCGCACTGGGATAATTTGTTTGTTTCTCTCTCTCTCTCTCTGTCTCTCCTATCTCTCCGTGCCCCCTCTCTCTCACTCTTTCATTCACTTCTGTTTGGCAACCTTCATGTACTCTTTCTCCCTAATATGGACGTATCTGGGACCCTCTTGGGCCGTCTGGGAGGCCGTCTTGGACCATCTTGGGCGAGCTTGAGGGCCATCTTGGCCGTCTTGGAGGCCATCTTGAGCCGTCTTGGGAGAATTTCTTGCGGACGTTGAGGTCGTTTGCGGGCCTGGAGCTCCCTCCCGGGACCCTGGCGGGCCGCGCCGGAGCCCCAGGGGGAGCTCTTAGGGAAAAGAATCAAAACCAAAACCGAAATCATCTAGCACGCCAGGCACCCCTGTGATGAATCAACAGGGGGCGGCGGATAATGGTTTTCGGCTCATCCCGCCACCGTGCCTGGGTTTTGGGCCGTAAGCCCGTAGGATGGTCGTTAGGATCTCGCGGGGGGTCTCTCGGGGGCTTCTCTGGGGACGTTGTAAAGCCTGTTGGGGGCCGTTTTGCGGTTTCTTGGGGCGTCTTCGGTGCATCGCGGGGCTCTATTGGCACCTTTTTGGGGGCCTTTTGGGGCCGCATCGGATTTTCGGTTGGTGTTCCCCCTTTTGGGCCCCTTTTGGGTTTTTTGGGGGCCCTCTTGGGCGTTTCTGGGGCCGTCTTGGAGCCGTCTTTGGCAGTGCTTGGGCCCTACTGGGGCGACGACCGCAAAATCATTGAATCCCGATGCGAAGCCAATGATGTTGGACTCTTCGGGGCCTTCTTGGGAAGGCTCTTGGGGCTTCTTGGGGGCCTCTTGGGACGGTTGTCTTGGGCGTTTTGGTGCGATCGTTCGGTGATTCGGGCCCCTCCTGGACTGTGTTGAGGGCCTCGCGGGGCCCGTTTGGCCCGTCTCGGGCCCCGGCCCCGAAAACGTGACGCGAGAAACCGCGGGAAGCCCCAGGGGGCACGCGGAAAGCCCAAGAAGATTTGGCAATTTGGGGTCTGGGCCTCTCGAAGACTCTTCCGGAGTGTTATTAAGGGAGTGGGCGGAGGACCGGAGGACACGCCCACCCCGTGCCCAGCGGCGCGGTGGCACGTCTGTGTATAGCCATGTGCGTAAACGTGAACATGTACATGTACATGTACATGTACATGTACATACATGCATACACAATTGTACATGTGTATATATGTGCCTATGCGTACAGATCCAACCATTTTTGGGGCATGCATATATAGATATACATGTGTACAAACATATATATATGCATCTATCTGTATATACATTCAAACAAACATACGCATCCATCCATCCGTCCATCCATACACACATACATACATACACGCATGCATGCATGCATACATACATACACACACATACATACATACATACATACATACATACATACATACATACATACATACATATATAAATACATACATACATACATACATACATACATACATGCATACATCCATACATACACACATACATACACACATACATGCATACAAACATACATACATACATGCATTCATGCATGCATGCATACATACACACATACATACATACATACATACATGCATACATCCATCCATACACACATACATACACACATACATGCATACAATCATACAGACTTACCTACATGCAAACATACATACGTACATACATCAATACATACATACATACATGCATACATACATACATACATACATACATGCACACACCCATACATACACACATACATACACACATACATGCATACAAGCATACATACTTACATGCATGCATTCATACATACGTACATACATCAATACATACATACATACATACATACATACATACATACAAACATACACACATACATGCATACGTGCATACATACATACATACATGCATACATACGTACGTACGTACATACATACATGCATGTATGCATGCATGCATGCATGCATGCATACATGCATACATACATACATACATGCATACATACATACATACATGTGTGTGTATTGTTGTGTGTGTGTGCGCTGGGCCGGCACTGGGCCCACGTGCCGATGTATGCGCGTTCTTGCCAAGACCAGGAGAGCGAAATTAGACCAAGGCCCCCGACGTCAGACGATTTTGTCACAACGTGGTCTCCCGGAGGTCTCGACCCATTTCCCGGGACCGGCTTTTCAGCGTGAGTCCTTCTAAGCCGGACCCCGGGGCTCGGTGAAGGCCCCCAGCGGCCGAAAGTTGTGATTCTGTTCATTACGCGAGGAGGTATGGGGCCTGGGCCCAGGATGAGCCTGGCCAGCATCGGTGTGGGCTTATAATTTCTGTGGAGGCGTTCGTTAAGGAGTGTGGCCACGAGGCTTCATGAGGCTTCGGACTCGTCTGACGAGAGCAGCGGCGACATCCATGGCCAGGCTTCAGTAGGTGCTCCACGCTCCACCAGATTCTCATGCCCTGGATTCCTTATCCAAGGGTTCGGTATCCAACGCCCTCGCCGTACTTGGCGATGTCCTGGATGGCGTCCGTGCAGATGGGGTCGCACGATCGCCGATGCATCGCCGATGCATCGGCGACGTCGGCGAGGAGAAGATTGGGCTCCACATCGAGCCGCATCGGCGATGCATCGCCGATGCATCGGCGACGTCGGCGAGGAGAAGATCGGGCTCCACATCGAGCCGCATCGGCGATGCATCGGCGATGCAGCACGCTCGCGCGCCCCTACGACCCCATCTGTGACTACCTACCAGACCACCCCAACCCAACCCGAAGACCCGAATTTCGGGTTGGGGGGGTAAGGGTTCCACGTGTGTTTTTTCGATGTTCCCCGACCCCCCCCCCCCACTGGAAATCGACTGTAAATTTGAGCCTTCGGGTTGGGGTTGGGGTGGTTTGGCGGGTGGTCAATCTGCCTCTGCAGCACTTGGCGCCCACCCTCCTCGCGCGGCGCTGCGCCCGCGGGCGCGGCGGGGCGGCGGGGGGCGCGGCCCCGGCCTCGGGCCTCGGCGGCCTCGTCGCAGGGGCGGCCGCCGCCTGCCGGCGGGGCGGTGCTGGTGGCGGGGTGCGCCCTGGCGCTGCGGAGGCGGGGGTTCGGGATCGCTTGCCTTGAAGCATTCAGCCGCGCGCACAAGGGGGGTGGGGGGAGGGGGGAGGGCTTCTTAGGAGCACCCCTGCTCCTCAGAAGGCGCGGGCCTCATCTACAGATGTAAGGCCGGCGCCTTCTCAGAAGCAGCCTGCAGCTAAGAAGCCCTCCCCCCCCCCCCCCACCCCCCTGTGCGCGCCGCCAAAACATAGCTTCCCAGGCCCCCACCGAGTCGTGGAGAGGTCACGACGGAAGTGTTTCCTCCACGTTCCGCCCTCGGGGGGCCCTTGCCGGGCTCCGGGGCCGTCAGAGACCGACGCTGGGCGAAGAGCCGGTCCCTGGGAATGGGTCGGGACCTCTTAGGGTCGACGTTACGAAAAAATCATGACGTCGGGGGTTTGGGTTTGTTCTTGGAACATGTCGTGCTGGTGGCGGGGTGCGCGCTGGCGCTGCGGCGGCGGGCTTCGGGATCGTCTGCAGGCATTGGAGGCTTACCCAGACATGATCGCGTCGTGCAAAAAATCGGGACGGGGGGTTTGCGCTGTGTTCGGCCTCTGGGGGCCCTCGCTGGGCCCCCGGACCGTCAAACGACTGTGGACGAAAAACTGGTCCCTTGGAATGGGCCGAGACCTCTGGGGTCGACGTTCTGAAAAAATTAAGATCGGGGTTTTGGTCTGTTCTTGGAGCGTGCTGGAGCTACGGAGGCGGGTTCGGGATCGTTTGGAAACAAATCTTGGGAGCCTTACTATACCGTCTTAACTCCGTCGTTAGCGTCGACTAGCGTCTGGTGGCCGACGAGATCGCACCGATGTGTCATTGATTAGCGTCGTTTGGCGTCGACTCGCAAGAGCCAACGAGATGGTATGGGAGGCTCCCGTGCGAGGGAAACAAACAATGACATAAGCATAACAACTCGGAGGTCCCCGCGGACTTCTCGCATCGGTGCCAGGGGCGGAGCCGGATGCGCCGCCAGGGGCCCCCCAGCGCCGACCAGAGGAATCCGCGCGGACTTCCAAGTTGATGTGCTTATGTCGTTGCTTGTTCCTGCGTGAGTTGCCGCCGAAGGGTCGGGCTGTGGGTGGGCCAGGCTCTTGAGGGGCATGTTTGAATCGGCAGCGCCGGCGGGCGCGGGCGCGAGGGTCGTGACCGGCCCTTACCTGGCCTGGGGACCGTCAAAAAAATATTCAGGATGAAAAACTTGTCCCAGGGAATGAGTCGATACGGTGGGGGCAGTCGTCAAGGAATGCGCCCAGGAGGCTTCTGACCCTGTCTGACGAGGGCGGCGGTGATATCCATGGCCAACCAACCATTGGGCTTCCATGGGCTTCCAGACCCTGGGTTCCTGATCCAACGCTTCCTTACCCAATGCCCCCACCGTACCTTCGGGGTCGACGGCCGTTGCCCTCGAACTTTTCTCGCGTCGGCAGCACCAGCGGGCGCGAGCGCGAGGGCCGTGCCAGGCGGGGCGCGCCAGCCGATGTCTGTTCTTAGAGCGCGTGCTTGTTATTGGAGCACATCGCGGGAGGCCGTTCAGGAGCCCAGACGCCCGATGTCTTGAGCTCTCGTCGAGACGGGCCCCCGGAGGTCTGGACCTTCTCCCCGGGGCCGGCGCTTCCCCCCGAGCCGTTGTTCGACGGGCCTGGGCCCAGCGAGGCCAACCAGAGGCCGACAAATTGGGAGAAAGAACACCTCCGCCTCGAGTGTCTCGAGACGTTGGAGGTCTGGGGATGCTGGGGCGGTCTGCCCCTGCTCGGACTCGGACTCGGGCCGTGGGCCGCGCTGGGTTGGGCGGCGGCGGCGGGTCGGGCGCGTGGGCGCGGGGGCCGTGACTGGCGGGGAGCGCGCCAGCCGCGGGCCTCGGGAGCGGACGTCAGGGGAGGCCGAAGGGTAATTTCAGGAAGGCTTTCGTTCTGGTGCCCCCCTCCCTCCCCCTTTTCCATTCGGCGGTGAACAGGACTGGTCCTGGAACGCAGAGCGACAACGCCGCCGCCGCGGGGGGAACGCGGAGCGCATTGGTTGATGTTTCAGCTGCGCGCCGTGTTGCAGGAGGCCCCCCCAAGACCTCAGGCGAGAGGGGTCTCGATTTTCGTCGGCTCCGCACTCGTGGTTCTTGCGGAGCAGGTCAGACAGACAACATCCTCCTCTTCCTCCTCGTCCTCCTCGTCCTCCTCCTCCTCTTCCTCCTCCTCCCGCTCCTCCTCGTGTCATTCCCAAGGAAGAGGAGGAGGAAGAAGAAAAAGAAACTACCCCCTAATAGGCGTACCCTGGAGAGGAGGCCTCAGTGCCCGCCATGGCTGGCACCGTGGCCGCTGCGACACTTCCCTTGGGGTAATTCCGTTTTCATGGGGTACGCTTGGCCCTTCCCAGCGGCGGAAGAGGAGAGGGCGGCCGCAGAGGAGGAAACGGGAAGAACCCGGCCGCCGAGAGTCGGCGAGTGAACGGTGCGCAGGCGTCGCGCGGGTGGAGGGGGAGGAGGGGGAGGAGGAGGAGGAGGAGGAGGAGGAGGAGGAGGAGGAGGAGGAGGAGGAGGAGGAGGAGGAGGAGGAGGAGGAGGAGAGAAGGGGTGTGGCCTCAGTCCTCCAGGCGTCGTCGGGCAGGAGGGTGTTTGTCGCAAGCGGGGGGGTCGCGAAAAGGGCGCTACCAGGGGCCCTTTAGGGTCCCTTGGGGCCGCCTGCTGGCTCCAGGCGGGGGCCCTTTTTTTCCGTTCCCACACGTAGGTCGCCCCAGCATGTGGGCTGCCCCCCAAAAAGGGCTCGTCGTGGGCAGTTAGTTCTCTTCAACCCCCCAAGTCGGTCCCCCCCTGGTGCCACCTGCCCGAGAGGCGGGAGGAGCCCAGCCGCCGAGAGTCGGCGAGTGAGCGTTGCGCAGGCGGCCTCGGGCATCGAGGACGGCGCAGCGGACAGCAGGAGCAGCAGGGGCTTCTGGAGGACAGGAAACATGGCATGAGCAAAGCTTTCGGAGGTCCGCGCGGACTTCTTGGATCGGCGCTGGAGCGCCGCAGAGCTTACCAGGGGCGGCGCTAGAGGTGCCGCTGGTGGAATCCAGCGCCGATCCAAGAAAGCCGCGCGGCCCTCCGAAAGTTTATGCTCCTACCAAATACTGTTCCTCGGTGCTCGAGGGGAGAGGCACGATGACCACGCCCAAAAGCGAACGTTCGAGGCTTGATGGTCCTTTGGATGCTTTTTGGTAACCGTGCCTCGCCGAGAGAGCTCTCTTTCAGGCGATCGCAAACATGAATCAAGAAGGCGTGGATTTGCGACGGGTTCTGTTTCCATGGGACATCGCGGATCTCCGCCGCCGAGCGAGGCGGCACCGGCCGCATTGTAGGGAGGGCACCTCCCCGATGGATTTGGCGACCGCGCGCCAAATCCATGGGTTTGAGTCGGGCCTGTTCCTCTACAAGAAAAATTCAAAAATAGTGAAAGATTACTCAGGGGACGAGTTTTGGAGCGTTTCTCATTACTGTTTGAGTATGGTTTGGGTACTTTTGATGATTCGTCCAAGATCCCCCTGTAGGAGGACGTGCCCGACCCAACCACGGATCGCCCACCCACGCTTCTGCGCCGAGAGCTCTTCTGGGCGCGCCCGGGGTCGTCAACGGCCGGCCGCCGGAGGCCCGAGGCGTGGCCCGAGGTGTGGCTCTGGCACGCGGCGCGCCGGCGCTTCGCGGGCGCCGTGCAGCGTGGGCCCGTGCCAGGGAGCAGCCTCCTCGGAGGGGACAGAAGCACGGGTCAGGGCCCCGAATCATCAGGGGTAACTCGGGTCAGGGCTAACTCGGGTTCGTTTTTCGGGAATCCAAGCCCGAGTTACCCCGGACCCGAGTTACCCCGGATAACTCGGGCGTCCAGAGCCCCGAATCATCAGGGGTAACTCGGGTCAGGGCTAACTCGGGTTCCTTGTTCGGGAAGCCAAACCCGAGTTACCCCGGACCCGAGTTACCCCGGATAACTCGGGCGCCCAAATAAGCACGGGCACAACGGATCGTCGACCCCCTAGGGAAAGGACGGGAAGACGTGGGAAGTGGGGGGGAGGACGAAGGCCCCGGAAACATATGGGGAAGTGTTGGGGATCCTGGCAGTTGTGTGTGTGTATTCATTTGTGTGTGTGTCCCAGGGCCCCTTCAACCCTGCTTGCCTCCGGGATGCCCTGGGTTTCTTGGGTTTCGATGGTTTTGCAATGGAAAACGTGACGTTCCCACGCCGAAAATCCATGGACGTCCTGGGGTCTCAGGGTCGGGTTTCTTGTGGGCGGGCGTCAACTGTAGACGGGCTGACGGCGATGTAGGTAGCGTAGCAGCGATGTAGGTTTCGGTATTGTGGGACCGCGTGGCTTGCGCTTTCCTACAATTCGCTGTGCCGTGCTCGCTCGATCCGTTCGCAGATGGGAGATGTAGGAACGTGTGTGGCTCGTGACTTCCTACCCTTTGGCTCCCAACATCACCGTGAAGCAACACCGCCGTTAGCCCGGCCTTGTAGGCAGGCTCGGGGTCGGGAGCGGGCGGCCTGCGGTCAACTTGGCAACGCTCGGACGTGTGCATTGCTCTCGCGGAGGGCCTTCGATCGAACAAGAAAAAACCCATCTGCATTAATGGTTGGCGCTCCGCGCGGATTTCTTGCATCGGCGTCTGGGCGCCCCTGGCGGCGCCCCTGGCGCCGCCCCTCAGGCGCTCCGCGCGCCAGGGAGGGGAGCCCAGCGCGGATCCAAGAAATCCGCGCGGACCTCCCCAAGTTTATGTTTGTGTCGTTTTTCTACCTCCGATCGCTCGGACGTGTGCGTTTTTCCTCGCGGGGGACCCTCGCCTTCGAGGAGCATCCTCGACCATCGGGCCAAAACGCACGCACGAGACCGAACGATGCACAGGGAGTGGACGTCCGATCGACGGCGAGTCAAGACGCTGAAATAAGGAACAGCTTGGGTTCGGAAAGGGCTCGCTGCTCCTTTCGGGCAGGTTGCCGAAACAAGGAGCAGCTTGGGTTCGGAAGGAGCTCGAGGTTCCTCTATATAGTCCCTGCCATGGCTGCTCCTCTTAGAGTCGGCCCAGATAAGTAGGTCGACCCTGCCGAATCAAGGGTACCCTTGTGTCCTGTGTCTCGCGGCCCATGCCTCCTGCATCCCTTTGGCAATGTGACCCTCGGAAGGGTCTTGTGTCCTCTCGCGTGTCCTGTCCAGTGAAGTCCGACTGTGGCCCTCCTCGCGCACGCAGGCGCTTCTGGTGCCACGGACGGGCCCCGTTCCTGCGTCAGCGGTCCTTCTCTCAGCGGCCCGACTGCAGGTCCTTCGTTGGCCCGGGCCCTACTCGTGCACCCGGGGCGCCCCGGGGGTCCAAAGGGATCTTCGTTCCTTGTTGACCGCTCCTCCTCCTCCTCCTCCTCCTCCTCCGCCCTCCTCCTCCTCCTCCTCCCTCTCCTCCCTCCTCCCTCCTCCTCCTCCTCCTCCTCCTCCTCCTCCTCCTCCTCACCCTCCTGCCTCGATCGAGGCTCTTGCACGTCTCTCTGGTTCCTCTCACCGGAGGGCGCCGCGGCACTCCTTTCTTCTTTCTCCGCCGTCCGAAGGGGGCTTCGTTCCTTTGATTTCTAAGTCTTCGAAAGTTATTTGATTTCTTGGGGTGCCAAGATCCTTTCATTGCTAAGTGTTCTGTCCTGGGCCTCTTCCTGGCCACTAGGGGGCCAGGAACAACTAGAAACGAGCAGAATCAGAGATGAGCACGATTAGAAATGAACGACGTGTACCGTTCCTTATTTCAGCAGCCCGACTGTACAGCTCGAGGGGAGGGGCCCGTCGGGCAACGCTCCGGGAGGTCCCTTGCCGCCACGATTGGAGTTGCCTCGAAATCCTGTTCAGAGCGCGCCCTGGGAGAGGTCTGGGGAGCAGCGGTCGGGGCGGCAAGTTCGGGGGGTTCGAGATTGTCTGACGTGTTCGTCGCTTCTCGGCGGCTTTCCAGCCTCGGGCTGCCTTCCAGCAGCTGCGCCTTTCCGAGGTCGTTCTGGGGCTGTCCGGATCGTCCCGAGCGGCTGCCAGGGAGCCGAGTTCTGATTTACGTCTGGTGACCCGACATCCGTGGGGCAGTGTTGGGGGGGGATGGGACCAGGGGGGGACGCATCGAACCCCCAGTCGTACGTGGGGGGTGCGGTGGCCCACCTCGGCCAGGAGCCTGCGGATCTGCTGTCGGGGGCGTGTGCCCGATCCGTCGGCGATTTCATCGCCGCCGCTTCTGGGTCGCTACGCTGTCCTCCCCCCCCTCTGAGCCCGTCCTCCCCTGGCACCCGACGTGGCCCTCAAGGGACACGGTGACCACGAGCAGCGTGTCGCAAGAGCTCGTCGACGCCCGACCTTGGTCGGGGCCCACGCTGGCCGCCGCCGATTTGCGAGGATGGTCCAGGCCGTCGCCGGTGGGCCAAGATCGGCACCGACGTTTCCGCGCTCAGCCTTGCCAGCCACGCGCAGAGGGGGTATAGGGGGGGAGGGCTTCTTGGAAGCACCCCTGCTTCTGAGGTGCCTTCCCTCCCCCCCCCTACCCCCGTGTGCGCACCGCCAAGTCTTGGTCTCCCCAAGGAGGAGGAGGAGGAGGAGGAGGAGGTGGAGGCTAGTTTTTTTTGTTTCTCCCTCCGGTAGCCTTCGCTTCCTCACGCCGCGGCAGAAATCACTGCGGGCGATGCTTGACAGTCCTCGACCTCCGTGGGCCCTCTCACCACCGGCCCCGCGGGACCGTCAAGAGACGACTCCTTAGAGGAGAGTTGGCCCTCGGAACAGGGGGTCCAGACGTCAGCTGATGGGCATGTTTTCCACCACCACCATCATAGGTTGGAGGGGGGAAGGAGGTGGAAGACGAGGAGGAGGAGGACCAAGAGGAGGAGGACGAGGAGGAGGAGGAGGAGGAGGAGGACCCCCTCCCTCTATAACTTATGGTGGTGGTGGAAACCACGCCCATCATCAGCGGGTCACGGTGTGGAGAAGTCATGGCGTCGGACGTTTGGGCAGGTGGACTGCGGTCCCGGAGGGGTGACTTCGAACTCATCGTTTGAAGCCAGGTGAGGGGGCCCCATCTGTTCAGGGCGCGGATGACACTGTATCGTGCCCTCAATCGCGCGCTCAGCGTGGGAGGAGTGGGGGAGGGAGAAGGAGGGAGAGAGGGAGCCCAGACATCCGATGCTTCGTTTTTTAAAACACGGTGCTCCCCGAAGTGACGACCCGTTCGCCAGGACCAGCCTGCCGTTCTGAGTCGTTCTCTCGCAGTCCTGGGTCCTGCCGAGGGCCCCAGAGGCCAAGATCGGCGAGCAGTTTCCCGTCTTGTTCTTCTCGCGACGCGGTAGGGCTCATTTTGACTCCTCCATTGATTCGAATCCGATGGCTTCCGATTCCGATGCGATTTGACTCTGGACTCCGATTTGGATTCCGTTTTCTCCATGGGGGCCTTGATTACCAACCAGCCGATTTCCGCCGATCCGATGCATTTCGATCGCCGATCCGTCCTATCGTTTCGATCCTGGGCTCTCCTGACGCGACGGGATCGAGGGGGGGAGCGGTGGCCGCAAGAGCCCGTCAGGCGGCGGGACGTCGGCGCCACGGCGCGCTCTGACGGCCCAGTCCTGGTGGAGGCCACGGCCGCTGCCGAGACGGCGAGGCTGGAGCTGGAGGCCGCGAGGCTGCGCGCCGAAGCCGCCGAGCTGCGCCGGGCTACGGACAGGCGCGGGGGGCGGACTCAGACAGTGTGAGCCCTGATCCCCCCGCCCCGGCCCCCTGGCCGACCGAGATAGGTCAGGTCCTTAGTTTTGAGGCCCCCCCATGTTTCCCTCGACCGGGTAATAGACTCCGCTCCTCCTCCTCCTCCTCCTCCTCCTCCTCCTCACCCTCCTCCTCCTCCTCCTCCTCATGCCAGGACGCATCGCCATAGTGAAGATCACCGGCAGCACGAAGCACTACAGCAGCAGAACACTCAATAAACACAGTCACGATGTATCTCCGACACAAACACGATTTCAAGGCGGCGTGGCAGGCCGCGATGCAATTGGTTTGCCCCAGCCCGACGGAGTCACAGTGTTCATGATGGGCGACTTCGACCCCTGTGATCATCCGCCGCGCAACACGACGCTCTCTGCGGACATGGCCTCGTTTCCACACCATCAGCAGCCTCCTGCATGTTGGCGTGACATCCTCAAGCACGTCATCGAGGTGACAACTCGAACGACCACTCATCGGAACTACGTGGACGACAGCGAGACGACTACCGACCGTGTCCTCACCTCGTCTGGCGCATAACATCCCGCACATGGAGACCATGCTCGCCATGAACGAAAATCCCGACGAGAAGATTGGCACGCTCGTCAGCGACCACAAGTTCTTTCATCTACGCATCCGTCCGCGAGCACAGCGACCACTTGCTTGTAGAGCGATCCCGCCCATGATCTTCAAGGGCGCCTATACCAGCACTACGTCGCCGAGCTCAACAAGATAACTGACATTTCCTCTTTCGACGCCGTGGCCAAATGGAGGTCATTCAAGGACAACGTGCGCACAGCCGCTCAGCGCATGCGAACGGCGCTGCGGAGGCTCCACCCTGACGTCCTGAAAGCCAGCCATGGGGACATCGCCAAGGAGGTAAACTCCCTGACCATGCGCGAAGTGTCGCGAGGGCTGTTTGGTATCAAGATGCCCCGGCTGCTCGATTTCTCATCGAGGATGCATACTTGGGCGCCAAGCGCCTGCAGATCCACGACGACACGCTGAGCGCGAATTCCATCCCGAAGATTTGCTTCCGCGACCCTCTGCACTTCAGTACCGAAGCTGCTGCAGCTCACGCTGACGCGGCGGACGGACGACGAGCGCGAGCAGCAGCCCAAGCCCGACAAGCATGTGCTGCCCATCGTCCGTGTGAGAGGCGACCGCTGGCGACAGCCGGCCTCCCGCGCACGTCGGTATGGAGGGCTGTGGAAGCCCTGCGCAAGACGGGTAATCCTCATCGGCGTGAAGATCTTTGCCGGTGGCACCTCCACACCGAGACCGACCCAATGAACATGCACAGCGCCATCCAGGCGCACTGGGCCCCGATACTCGTTGAGGGGACCATCGGCGAGCAGGACTTGCTGTAGCACCTGGACAGGGTCTCCCCAACGGAGGCGATAATCCACATTGCCATCCACGACGAGCACTGCCTCGAAGCCGCGGCCAGGCATGCTGCCGACTCCGCTCCTAGCTCAGCCCAGCTACCCTATCGCGCGTGGCTCGCGAATTCGCTCAGCTTCTTTATCTTGGCGGAGCTCGCGATCCACTTGACATACGGCTGTCCAGTACCTCGCGGTCATGAACTTCTCGCTGATGGTGATGCTCCCAAAAGGAAAGGAGCCCAACGACCACCACGCCTCTCTACGTGATCCTGGCGCGCTCCGCCCGCTGTCATTGAAACAGCGGCATCAAGATCATCGCGTCTGCCGCATGCCTGCAACAGGAAACTCCACCCCCTCGTCCGCTCCACCAGCTACGTACAGCGCGGATTTGTACCTTGGCGGCAGTTCCGCACTAACATAGTCAACATCTACGCGGGCTGCCGCAAGGTCAGCATCCTTCCTGGCGCTGCCGAGTTGCAGCCCTGCTTCCTGAGTACGGGCATCGCTGCGGCGTTCCCGAGTGCCATGCATGCTTGGCTGTTGGAAGAACTCCAACGCTGGGACATCCACGGCTAGCTGCTCCGCGCCGGCTACCACAAGTCGCTCACCTTCTTGCCGTTGGGCAACGTGCTTCGCCCACTCTGTTTCGCTGACAGCGCAATTGTACAGGGGGTCCTCGTGGGCGCTCACGCATGAGCCGACTCTTGGCATCGACACCGCGCTCAAGGCCATCCCCAGCGGGGGCAACTTGTCGGGTCACCACCCGCAGCGCGACGCTAGCGCGACCAACGCCTGCGCCGATGACATAGTCTGTGCACTCCGAGCCCTGCGTGATCTGCTTCACCTGCGACCCCGCGCGCGAGCGCCAGACGACCTCGCAGGCCCACGCCCCCAGCCCAAGAAATGCGCCATGGCACTTTTGCGGACTACCCTCGACGAACTGCTGATCGCCAACAGCCGCGACGCGCTGATCACCATCGACCTGTCGTGGGCTACTTTCATGATCAGCTGCGCGGACAAGTACTTGGGCCTTTACATCGGCCCTGCGGCATCGTTCGCACGTCAATGGCAAGCTCTCGCGGCCGAATGGCGGCTCCGGCGCCAGATATACTGGCGCCGCCCAACGGCCCAATGCAGCTCTGCGCGCAAGCCTGCAACACTTCGACCTTCGCGATCTTGTCCTACGTCGGCCAGCCCCCCCCCCCGCACGTGATGTTCCTCGCCCAGGAGATCCGCGCGCTGCACGAGCTGATGCGAGCCGCCCCCTCTGCCTTCGCGAGGATGGACATCCTGGCCATGCGAACCTGGAGAGGCGCAGACGTCCCCGCGGGGCTCGACGCCATGCTCGCGGCTACCATGTGGAGGACGGCCACTTACACAGCTCGTGGTTGAGAGTCGGTTTCCGCTCGCTACAGCACGCCGCTGAAGGACACATGCCCCTGGTCAGGGCCATCGGCTGGCAACGGCTTGCCGGTTGCTGGGCAGGCCATTGTCTATCGGCCAGCGCTTCCAGTTTTCGATCGACGGCGCGTCCAACGCCGCGGGCAAGGGTTCCCTCTGCAAGCGCCACCGTCGGCAGCGGGAGAACGACCGATGCGCAGCTCGACGCCTCGCGATCGCCCATCGCAAAGCCAGGGCGCAGGGCAAGGCAGCAGATCCTGGACAAGCGGGCAGGTCGCTCGGGCCGAGCCGCAGAGAAAACAATTCGGGGCTCCACCCGCGGCGCGATGATTGATAGCCACGGCACAAGCCGAAGACGCCGCAGACTGCATGCATGTCCAAGCTCTAGCGCGCCCTCTACATCGACACCTGCGGCGCCGCCATTCTGAAGCGCCTCCACGCGCGATGCCCGACGGCTGGCCGCGCGGCCCATGCCCCCGACCTCCCAGCTCTGGCCCCAGACGCCTCCATGCCTGACCGCGCCACCGACGACTCCCGTCGAGCTCTCCGACAGCTTCGCACAATGGAGGCGGTGCTGGCCCACTGGGCCTGCGATTGGACCCCTGGCGCGCACCTGAACGACCGGCTGCTGGATCGACGACGCGATTGGGCAAGGCGGCGCGAAGCATGCGTATTTCGAGTGCTCGAAGGACCATCAGATATCATCCTGTACAATTGAACCATCTTTTTCAGCGACGTGGCTCGCCGCATTTGTCGAGACGCTTGGCACGGTGGCGACGGCGCCAGGCAGCGTCGGGCCTGGCTTTCAAGGCTTTCCCAAAGGCTTCACATGCCAACAGACGTCCGTCAGCTACTGAAGCCGCAAGAGTACAGCTGCTTGCCCGACGCCAGCTGGCTCGACGCCCCGACGAGATCGACGACGACAGCGACGCGACTCCTCCGAAGAGAGAAGTCAACCGCTGGAAAGACGAAGACGACAACAACGACCACGTGTCCATGATCCAGCTGCCGTCCGCGACGCACACGAGATGGGCCAAAGCACATCACCACTGCCAAGATGCCGCCGTCGCGACTCTGGCCCATCAGGAAGACGTGCGCGGGAGGATGGCCGACGACCTTCAGGATGCACGTGCAGCCGTTGGAGCGCCCCTGCGTATTCGGATGCCCCGCGGATGTCGACGCCCAGGCCCGCTACGCAGTCTGCTACCGGGCTTGGCACCGCGTCGCGATGCTCGTGGCATGCTGGCGCCCGACTTGACGCGCGCGGGCCTGGGAGCGCTCGACTAGGACACGTCGGGCGAGAACAGCGCCCTCAGCTCGGTCACGCGCCTCGCGGTGCTGTGCCGGGCCTGCTGCGTGAAGAACGACCGCCTGACACACGACTGCACCGCGGTGCAGAATCATTCCGTCGACGCGTTGGGTGCCGACCCTGTGCACGTGGGCATCTTCCGCACCAGAATCGGCTGCTGCGGGCAGCACCTGGTCCTCTTCGAAACCGCTCGCGCTGCGCTGAGGCCAGGCCCGCGCCTGCACGGCGGCGCGTCGGCACCCAGGCGACGAACCGTCTCCGCAAAGGGGCGCTCGCTTTTCCTCCTCCTCCTCCTCCGCCTCCTCCTCCTCCTCCTCCTCCTCCTCCTCCTCCTCCTCCTCCTCCTCCTCCTCCTCCTCCCCCCCCCTCCTCTTCCTATTAGTATTCCTCCAACCTTTTCTGTCGCTGTTGCGCGGCGGATGCTGCGGATCAGTGGCTATTCTTTATTATCGGTGGGACCCCTGTCCGTCAATAAGAGCCGCGAAAGCATAACTGTTTCCCGTCTGGGGGGGTATAAAAACCTACCTCGGTTCAGGGCCCCCCTCCAGATTATTAGCTAAACCACTTGCCAAGCCAATTTCTGTTCCGGCCGGACCAGCATGCCCGGCCGGCAACCCGTCGGATGAGACATCCCGTCGGCCTTCGGAATCAGAAAGCCAGTTGGCTAGCCTGAGACATCTTCCCCGTTTGGGGGGTTTGGGCCCTCCCCCCTTCCCGTCCCCTCCTGGGGCGAGGAACAGCGCTTCTGGCGGCGAAAGGTTCAACATTGTTCCCCCCAGGAATTGTCATCGTCGTCGTCGTCGTCGGCCGTCGGCCGTCGTTGGTCGTCGTCGGTTCGCCGTCGCGCTATTTTTCGCCCGGCGTCGCGGCAAGCTTGGGCCGAAGAAACATGTTTGTGCTTCGCCCCAAGGAAGCTTTACTGTTATTCTGGATAGTGCATTCGGTTCCTTCTGGGTTCGCTTCTGCCTGAGTGCGCTTCCTCGACAGGCCTCCTCGGGCAGGCAGAGGAGCAGACGGGAGACGGGGTGGCCCTGGACAAAGGGGTGGCGGTGATACGAAACCTGCTGCATGTGTGCGCAGCTGGTCTCCGCCCCGCCGCTGGGCGCTCCTTCTCGGTACCCTGGCGCCTCCCAGCGGGGGGGGGGCGCCGGGGACGTGCACCCCCTTGGCGCGGCGGCCGTCGGGCCCTGACCCCGCAGCTTCCTCGCTGGCCGTGAGAGGGATGTGCAACCGACTGCACCCTCCCGCCTGGGAGTCGCGTTTTCGCGTCGACGACGGCCAGGGATGACTCAGAGCACACGTCGTGTTTCCAGTGATGCGCCGGCTTGCTGCCAAGACGCTGACTGCAGGATTTTCCGGGGCTCGAGAAGAGATCTGGTTGTCGGGCCGTTCAGGAAATCTGGGTCGGGGAAACTGTTCGTGGCGGAGGCTCGTTTTTCCTGCCAACTAGCGCGTTGATTTGTATGTCGCAGCACCATCCTATTGGGGTCCTCTTGCACGCCTCTCTGGCTCTCGTCAAGTTGCGTCGTGTTTCGCTGCCCACATGGTGTTGTTTCTGCGGGACGGTCCGTCTCGCACAGCGTAACACAGGGGTGCCTCGATCAAAACAGCTGCCCCCTTGGCTGCAGACTCGTCGTATCGTCTTCGGGCCAACCCGACACCAGGCCCGGTTCTGGGTCAGAGGTCTATTGGGTGCGTACCATGGGCCTCTCGGGACGCCTCTCGGGAGCCTTTTGTGGGTTTGGGGGGCCTTTTGGAGGCCTCTTTGGGGCCTCTTGAAGCCGCTTGGGGGTCCTCTTCTTGGGCCTTCCTGAGCTGACGGAAGCCCGAAGAGACGAGATCATAGTGGGGGCCATGATATCTCCCTGGATGGCATGCCCTCCCTTCTTCTTCCAGTGCGTCCCTTGCCCACGCCCCCTCCTGCGCGCCCATGCTTCCGGCTATGATTTGCGACCTCCTTCTTGGACGCCCCCGACCCACAGACCTGGCTCAGAATGGCGAGGATGACTCACCTTACCCGAGGAGACCAGAGGCCTCTTAGAAACATCCAGGCGCTTCTAAGAAGGCCCCCGTCTTCTAAGAGGCACCCCCGCCTTCTTACACTCCCCTGGCGCTACCCCCTTGCGTGCACTGCCAACATCTGGTTCC